ATCTTCCGCCCTTTATGCTACAATAATTACCCATCCCGTCACTATTACTTGAATTCAAGTTGGAGCACAAGTGATGTAGTCTCGTTTTGTGGTTTTCCTCAGTCCATCCAGACAAATGCAGAGGTGATGGTTTGGATAGATCAGGACGCGACCGCTTCCTTCCATATTCTTTCCACAGGATCTTTTAAGCTCCGCAGCGTCCAGACCGACGCTGGGTTCAACGTAACTTCCCGTCCAGTGGGTACCGTGGCCAATGCGATCGGTACGAAACATCTTCATGCAGTAGCGACGTTAAGAATGCATGGAGCTATGACTTCAGTCTACACACGTCTTTATAGAGCGCGTTGTTGCTGCAGTGTAGTCGATTATTGAACACACTCCTTGGAAAAGCTGTCACGAGCGCTTTCTGTACGCAATATGTTTCGACGAATTTGCTGACTTGGTGTTTGTAGTTCAACAGATTCTGCCGGATTTCTTCTCCTTCGCTGTCACAGGAAAAGGAGACGTTTCGACGAACTGAGCACACGTCACTTGAAAACTCAATATTAGTTAATGTCTGGTTTATGGATTCCTTGACCATTTCGCTATTGAGGACTCATATACTCGTATTTGCGTCTGTGTACGGCTTGTGTGTGTCTCACTTTACGACATAGCACCCTTCCTGATGACGTCAATAGATGCCGCCATATTTTCTCTAGTTTGATAAGTTTGTGTGCAGATAGCGCTAGGATTTCTCAAGTACATTCGGTATAGCAACTAGGCTCCGGCCTGGACAACCTAGGAATCGGAGTTCGATGCCAGGTAAGGGGAAAGTGTTTATTCTCTTCTCCACGACATCCACACCGCACTAGGGCCCATCCGGCTTCATTTCCAACGTACCACAGTACGCTAGGACACATATTTCTCGAGCGATGAGTAAAAAATATTTTTGGGGATTTCAAAATGTTTGGGGGTTCCCAGAAGTTTGTAGGGATATTTGAAATATAAATTTTTGGAGTTTCGAATGTCTAAGACCTCTCCAGGTACGTTTTCTAGCTTCACGGTATGTTCACCTGAAACAGGTGCAGCTGTAAAAGTGTACATTTATCGTATAGCCGAACGACGCTATCGTAGCTGAGACTTTACATCGTCGAATCCTAGGGTGATTAATGAATAATTAATTGGCGAGGATGTGGTACATTTCCGGAGCGGAAATGTACCGGGTACCAGAGTGTGACGCAGGGACTTAATGGGCTGAAGGCATGGGACGGTATGGAAGGGGCTCTCACTGCAGAGACTGTTAAGATAACTATCTTCTGAGGTGTGATTACTTGTATCCAATTGGGTCGTTACCAAAGTTTCGGAGGAAATGTTGCCTCCTTCTTCAGAGAAGAAGAGTAGTCTGAGGGTCGAAAAAGTGGAGCGGATATAAGGAGAGGGAAGAAGAGACTGGGGCCCTCAGCTCAGAACCCCTTCTCCTCCTGCTTCTCTGAAGTCCCACAAGAATAATATTCAAGAAAATGTAAGTTCCTCGAAATGAGAAGAGGGAAAATTGAAATGCCAGACAGGCCGTGGATGTCTTTTTCATTACTACAAATCGCCACCGGGTTAAGAATGTCGGAGCTGTATTTCCACTTCCCCATACGCCCTCATGACGTGGTTGTTAATAAAAATATGAGACCAGTTTCATTTTTACCGGTATTCGAGTGTAGATACTGAGGAAAACTAAGTTCAATGCGATTTCAATCCGTTACTTCCTTCTGCAGGAATAAGTTTTTGGTGCAGTATGTTTCTTGAGCATTTGATGCATATTCAAGTGTCACAGTTGTTCCCTAATGTTATGGAAACCAAAGGCTCATCACCGTATTGACAAAAGTATACCATCTGTCCTTGACCTGAAGCCCATGCTTGTAGTTCACATCTCCAAGGCGTACTTTACGGCTCTCCGTTGCGGATGACTCTTAGCTCCTTCTTCCTCAGACGTTCATCAGTCATCCTACAATTCGACGCCATATTAACCTTTGCCGTTGTTGTTATGCAGCAAGAGATAGTTGTCAACAGGAACAAATAATGTAGAAATTATGTGATAACACTTAATTGAAATTAAGTTGCTTGTAACCACAGTGACATTTATGTTCATTTGTTTTAGATACAAACCCGTTGTTGCTAATCCAGTCACATTATACATATTGTCACGTATTGGGCATATAACGCGACAGATAACTTCACGCCGTATTTTATATAGCGAATTTTATTTCACATTCGCACTTACAATCAC